AATGGGGTCACAGAGAGTCAGACAGGACTGGAAAACAACATCATTTGCCAGGAACCACGATTAGCGCACAAAGACAAAAGCAGAATAGTCTGTGTCCTCAGGGATCTTACAGACTGTTGGGGAGGCCAATATGTACCTGTAAGTATATGCAAAATACATGGTATTTGAGGAATTAGAAGGGGATCAGGAAAGTCCTCATGTAGGAAGTAGAATTTCAGCTGAGCTTTGAAGAATACTAGAAATTCTAAAGGGTAGAAGAGAGGAATGAGTGCATTCCAGGCATGGGAGACATTCGGTGCAAAGGCTTGGAGATGGGAAATGGGATCCTGCACATGAGGAACACGGAGAAGGCACAGTATCATATGCGTGGTTTTCACTTAACAACAATACAGAAATAGACTTTTCTACAGTGCTTTAAGGTTTACAAAGCATTTTATACACTGTCTTATTTGAACCTCCCAAAATCCTTGTAAGGTTGGCATTGCAGGTATTATTATTTCCCCTGTTTGACAGATGAAGAAATTGAGACTGATTAGTGTAAAGTGATTTCACCCATGGGCTCACAGCTAGAAAATGGGCAAGATTTGAAGCTGGGTCTTCCTAACTCCAATCCAGTGTGCTCTCTCTCCTTCTGTCTTTCTCTTCCTCCTTGCTTCCTTCCCCTTCATCCTCTCTCTGTTTCTTTGTCTCTGTCTTTCTCTTCTTCCTCCTTCCTTCTCCTTCATCCCCTCTCTGTCTCTCTCTCTTTCTCTCCCTCCTTCCTTCCTTCCCACCCCCTCATCTCCTGTTTCTCTATGTATCTTTTTTTCTCTTCCTCCTCCTTCCTTCCCCTTTATCCCCTCTCTGTCTCTCTCTCTCTTTCTCTCTTCCTCCTTCCTTCCTTCCTTCCCTCCCTCCACCTCATCCCCTCTCTGTTTCTCTCTCTCTCTCTCTCCTTCCTTCCCTCCCGCCCTCTCAGTGAAATCTCTAGGTAGAGGCTTGACAACCATTTCTTAAAAAGATGTTATAGATGCTTGACTCCTGTTCAGGGATGGAGTAGACTAGATGGGCCTTAGAGGTTCTTTTCTACTCTTGATTCTGTCAAATGCTCTATAGTCCACAAAACTGTAGAGAAATCTTGGCCATATGCAGTAGTTGATACTAGAAAGACTTCCTCCAGTTCATTCGAGGGTATTGTTGTTGTTTGTTCAGCCATTTTCTGTCATTTCTGACTCTCTGTGACCTCCTTTGGGTTTTTCTTGGCAAAGATACTGGAGTGGTTGGCCATTTCCTTCTCCAGTTCATTTTACAGATGAGGAAACTGAGGCAAACAGGGTGAAGTGACTTGCCCAGGGTCACACAGCTCTTTGGATTTGAAGTAAGGTCTTCCTGACTCCAGGTTTGGCACTCCATTCACTGTGCCACCTAGCTGCCCTCATAAGGGCATTAGGAAGCTTCTGTCAAATAGACTTGGAGTGACAAGAGATGGTTTCAGAGAAACCTAGGAATACCTATATGAAGTGATGAGGAGTGAGGTGAGCAGATCCAGGACAGCAGTTTGTACAATGGCAACATTGTAAAGACAGACAGCTTTGAAAGAGCTCAGGTCAGTGCAGTGACCAGCCGGGATTCCAGAGAACCTGTGATGAAGCTGGCTCCCCCCCTCCTAATAGAGAGGTGATGGACTCAGATGGAGAAATGAGACGTGATTTTTCTTGTTGTTGTTGTTGTTGTTGTTATTGTTGTTTTTGGGGGGGCGGTTTGGACATAGCCCTTGTAGGGATTTATTTTTCTTAACTATGCATATTTGTTATAAGGATTTTGTTTTTGTTTTATTTTTCAGCGGGAGGGAGGAGGGAGGAAAAATAGGTTAAGTTAAAAAGTATTTTTCAGAGTTTTAGAACATTTCCTGTTTAGGCCTTTTGTAAGGCACTTGTTTATATGATTCTAAGAAATGTGCTTTTTGAACAGCGAGGTATTCTCTAGCCTTAGTGAATAATGGCAGGAAATGAATCCATTTTTAGTTTATTAGGAAACCCCCCCCCCCCCCCCCCCCCCCAGCTGATTGTATGTGTTGTCGCAAGTAAGCTGTTAGAGGTCAGGAGGCTTGAGAGCTAGCATCTAGCCACTTTCCTCCATCTGGTTTTTGGAACATTTGGCTTTCTGAAATAGACTTTAACTAAATATTCCTGTCTGGCCCCTAAAAGAATTTGTCAGCTCTTATTTTAGATAATAGTTGCTAACAGTAGAAATCGTCCTTTGTAGCCAATGAGATTGTGAAAGTAATAGGTCTGATGAATATGAGACAAAAATCATAGGTTGACACTCAAATTAAATGCTTCTCTGGAAATTGCTACCTATAGGATTTCCATTCATCTAGATTACCCTGTCATTAGATGTGACATCCTGTCTTAAAAGTACAGAGTTTGGCCTTGGAGATGGCCTGTGTCATAAGAGCATGGAATTTAGAGTTACAAGACCCAGGTGCAGAACTTTCCTCTGCCACTTGTATGACCTTCGGCATATCGTCATCATCATCTTTCTGGGTTATAGGTCACAGATGACCTATGAAGCCATTGTCTGCTCTAAAAATGATATATGCATGCTATATCATGGGAGGAGGGTAGTATTTAGACCTGTTATTTTATTTGTGTAGGCCTCCTGGTATGGGAAACTCCCTTCATCAGTGTGAATGAGTAACCCACCTATAACGTACAGAACTTACCTGGAGCTTTGATAAGTGAAATTACTTACTTCGAGTCACCCAGCCTGTATGTGTTACAAGTTGGACTTGAACCTCTCTCCTATAACCGTTACCCACCCTAATGTTCACAGGCATACATCTTCATACTGTACTTGCTATAGATTGTAAGCTCCATGAAGGCAGGACTGTCTGTAGACTCTTTTTGTATCTCCAGTACTTAGTGCTTGCCATGTAATAGGCACTTAAATAGTTATTGATTGACTGATTTCCTTTTAATACTGGTTTCAAGTACTATTTCATTTGCCAAATTAACTTACTAGACCTATTTGTTAGCATATTGTCTGTTTTTACAAGAGTAAAGTTGGATTATGTTGGTTTATTCTGAACATTCTTATTAGATTTCTTTTTTTTTTCTGCCTCTATGAAAAAAATTCATCATTATTATAGACTTAGGCCTGGGTTTTCTATTAAAATCCTGGAATTTTGTTTTTAAAGGACTTGAAGGTTTTGGTTTTTTCTAAATATTCAGAAAAATGAAGCTTCAGAGGCTTTGGGTATAAACCCAACATCTGTCATTGAAGAACCAGCGAGGGTAATTTTAGAGAAGCTCATTGCCAGAAAATGGTGAGCTCTCTGTTTCTCTCTTTTTTTTTTTTTGTCTGTCTCACCTCACAAAAACCATCTAATAAGACTTGGAAGGTAGTGTGATCTTTATAAATGGTGGAGATTCTCATGCCAACAAAATTTTGACCCCTCTCTTTATTGGTATGGATGGTATCTCTTCCAGTGCAAACCATGACCTCTCTCCACGCCTCTGTAGAAGGCTTTGTCAGTTACTGTGGACAAAGAAATGACCCCTTGCTGTCCAGCCTTGTGGCAATGAACCCATCCGCATAGCAAGGCATATCTGCCTTAAATGCCAATGGTGAAGTCCAATGCCAAGTCTTTGTGTACTGCCTTTTCCACCTCTGTAAAACCTCTGAAGACACCTTGGCACAGTGGGTAGAGCACTGGACTAGGAATCAGGAAGACCTGAGTTCAAATTCCTCCTTAGATCCTTACTACCTGTGTGACCCTGGGTAAGTCACACTCAGCCAGTTTCTCTATCTGTAGAATAGAGAAAATAATAGTACCTGAAGGCAGCTAGGTGCAGTGAATAGAGTGCTGGGCCTGAAGTCAAGAAGACTGGTCTTTATGAGTCTGAATCTGACCTCAGGTGCCTTAGTAGCTGTGTGACCCTGGTCAAGTCACTGAACTCTGTTTGCCTTAGTTTCTTCATCTGTAAAATGAGCTAGAGAAGGAAATGGCAAACCCCTCCTGTATCTTTGCCAAGAAAATCCCAAATGGGGTCACAAAGAGTCAGATGTGACTGAAACGACTCAACAGGGACAACAAAAACAGCACCTACTTAACAGTTGTGGCAATTTTTAAAATGACTTGCCCAAGGGCATGCGACCAGAATGTGTCAGAAAAGGGACATGAACCCAGGCCTGCCTAATACCTTTCACCAGTATGAATCAACAACTCATCCATAACTTAAAATCTCAAAGAGCTGCCTAGGCCAGTGAGGTGGCCATCTGCCCAGTCACTCACCCCGTATGTATCTGAGGCAGAATTTGAACCCGGGCCTTCCTGACTCCTTTGCCAGTTCTCTCGTCAACTTACTAACACTCCACTTGTTACTGGCGTTTGCTTAAGTGCTATGATGTTATCCATTGGGTTCTTGATAGAGGCATGTCAACTCAAAAGCAGCGGTTCATTTAGAACTCAAATGCAAAATTCCAATATGAAGGAAAGATGTTTGTTCTGCAGATATCTGGTTAGCAGAACATTGACTTAATAAAACCAGACAGACACCATCCACTTCCCTAGCTTTTCAGTTTTTAAACCGTAGGGATGGTCTCATTTAGAATCTGAATTTCAATGGTTCTTAAAGGCATTCTAACCCTTTAAAATGGAAAAGAGCTTAGATAGTCAAATTGAAGCATCAAACACTGACTTTGGGTACTTCTCTGGGCCTGACTTTTTTTTAAATCTGTAAACAATAATAATAAATAATAACTTGTAAATCACAATAATCTTTGAGCTCCCTTTCAGCTCTCGATCTGTAGTCCTCCATCTCTAATATTATTCTTGGTTTGCAGCCTTGCAGAGGAGTCTGCTTGGCTTCAGGGTAACAGACAGCAGGGTGGGGTGAGGAGGAGGAAGCGTGCTTTTGGAACTGGGCTCTGCCTTTTGTATTGTTCTATCAGGCCCAACTCTTTCCACTTATGAGTGTGTGTGTGTATTTTTTTTCTTTCCTTCTGAACTCTGGCAGGATTTCCGGGATGCAGTAGCTCAGGCCTCCAGGCAGCTTGGAAAGCCAGTGATTGAGGACAGAATCTTGAATCAGATCCTGTACTACTTGCCTCAGCTGTATGAACTCAATCGAGATCTCCTGAAAGAATTAGAAGAAAGGATGCTGAACTGGTAAGAAAATTGAAAAAAAAAAAAAATGAAAAGAATGCTGAACAGGACCCAGAGTTGGTTTGTTATGAGAACCTCTGAGGGAGGGACTAAAAGTGACCCAGAATGAATGTGACCTATTTTTAAAAAATTTTGTTTAAACTACACTTTCATATTTTCAGTCAATGACAGTTCTCTCCCTCCCTTCTTCTTCCCACTTCGCTCCTTTGGGAAAAAAAAATCGGTTACAAATATGAGGTCAAATAAAATGACTTCTCCCATTGACCATATGCAGTGAAAATGGGTCTCACTCTGCATCCTGTGTGGATCACCTTTTTTTCAGGTGGGGTGGGTAGCATGTTTCCTTATGATTGGTCATTGAATCAGTCAGAGTTCTAAAGCCTTTCAGAGTTGTTTCTCACTCTGCATCAGTTCATGCAAGTCTTCAGGTTTCTCTGAAAATGGGCCCCTTCATCATTCCTCAACAGCATGATAGTCTACACATAGTATAAAGAATAGTGTAACTCAGAGAATGCGACCTATTTTTTAAAGAGAAGTTCCTCGCCTGGGTTCTTGATGTTAATTTTAATATCTCTGATTGTCTCAATAATTACATGTAGACTTGACAGATGTGTTTGAAGAATTGGACACGATTGAAACTATTCAACAACAACAACAAAAAAAATAGCACCTATTTCACAGGGTTGTTGTGGAAATTTTAAAAATAACTTACCCAAAGTCACACAACCTTTATGTCAGAGATGGAACTTGAACCCAGGATCAACAACTCATCCATAATTTAAAATCTCATATTACTGCCTAGAGCACTAAAAAGGCCATCTGCCCAGTCACTCACCCATTAGTTATCCGATTATCATTGTTATTAATTTATTTTAGCTTCAGCTGGTAGCTTAATGTAAGGCTTGGAATCCAAAAGATTCTCACCAATGACCTCTAGCTTTGTGACCCCTGACAAGTCATTTAAACTGTGCGTGTACCCAAAACAGTCAGTCATTAAGCAATTATTAAGTGCCTGCTCTGTACCAGGCACTATCCTAAGCTCTGGGGACACAAAGAGAGATAGTCCCTGCCCTCAAGAAGCTCACAGTCTAATGGAGAAAACAAGCAAACCAATCAATCAATAAAGATTTATTAAGTACCTGTTGTATGCCAGGCACTGTTAGGCTCTGGGTTGTGGTTTGTCCTTTTTTTTTTAAGGCAATTGGGGTTAAGTGACTTGCCCAGGGTCACACAGCTAGTAAGTATCAAGTGTTTGGTCTGAGGCCGGATTTGAACTCAGGTCCTCCTGACTTCAGGGCCGGTACTCTATTCACTGCGCCACCTAGCTGCCCCCCGCCTTTTTTTTTTTTTTTTTTGTCCTTCATTTTTGAAGAGGACCATGACATCAGGAAGATGATGACATGACTTGCAATTGACTTTGATTTGAGTGAGGGAGGGCTGTTCAAAGTCACCAGCCTCACTTTCTCCTCCAGAGCCAGATATAGATCAGGACGACTGGGGATGGCCCAGCATGCAGTGGGAGACCTTGGCCTTTTTAAGCTAAAGTGTTTCTGAGGTCTCACGTTGAGTGAGGCAAGCACTGGGTACAAATATGTACAAACAAGCTATATGCAGGATAAATAGGAAATAATTAACAGAGTAAAGGCACTAGAGCAGCTCCAGAGAACTTTGTTTAAAAAAAAGAAAAATTCCAATTCACCATGGAGATCTGCTTTGAGTTATTAATTTCCCATCAATACCCCATGGAGGCAGCATGGTACAGAATAATAATTTATGTTATGACAAAGAATAATGGATTAGAAGTCAGAGGATGTGGGTTCAAATCCTACCTCTGCTGATTACTTAAGGCACTGAAGCACCCTGGGCCTCAGTTTCCTCCTCTGTAAAATCAGGACATTGGACTAGATGAACTCTAAGGTCTCTTTCAGTTCTAGATCTCAGATCCTATAATCCTCTGATGGAGAGCATTGAGAGGAAGTCATTAACCACTTGATAAATTGTTATCCTTAAGTTGTCTGGATTCAGGTGAGAAGGACCATTGTTTAACCAATCAGAACTGTCAGCAGTGACCTGGCTTTAATGCTTAGGTTTTGTTTTGTTTTGTTTTTTTGATTGGGCAATGGGGTTAAGTGACTTGTCCAGGGTCACACAGCTAGTAAGTGTTGTATGTCTGAGCCTGGATTTGAACTCAGGATATCCTGAATCCAGGGACGGTGCTCTATCTACTGCGCCACCTAGCTGCCCCAATACTCAGGTTTTGAAGGATGATATTAATAGTGGTTAGATGCTAGTAGAATTAGAGGTGGCAGTATGGCACAGTAGAATGAGCTGTCAAAGGACCTGAGTTCAAGTGCTGGCTTTACTAACTCTGTGATGTTAGACTGGTTACTTAATGTCCTCCTTAAAACAAGGGTGTGGGACTAGATGACTTTTGCAAACCTTAAAGTACTGTATACATGCTTTTATTATTATTATTATTATTATTATTATTATTATTATTAGCCTACTTTCTGAAATCCCACTTTGTTTTCCTCCAAATTCCTATAATAAAATGCAATGAAATATTTCATGAAATAATTCAGTAGTTTTGTGCTGGAAGCACGTTAACATGTCTCTTCTCATTTAGGATTGAGCAGCAAAGAATCGCAGATATATTTGTAAAGAAGGGGCCATACCTAAAAATGTATTCCACATACATAAAAGAATTTGACAAGAACGTAGCTCTTTTGGATGAGCAGTGTAAAAAGAATCCTGGCTTTGCCGCTGTGGTTAAAGATTTTGAGGTAAGCCTAACATCAGACGCATTTTTCAAAAATATATTTTATTGGAGTTTTTTTTTTTCTTAATACCATAATCCCTTCCCTGTGACCTCTCCCCAATACCTACCTTCTCACCTACTCTCTGTCCTTCCTTTTCTGTCTCTTTCTCTCTCTCTCTCGCTCTTTCTCTCCCTCTTTCTATCTCTGTCTCACACACACACACACACACACACACACACACACACACACACTCCCCACCCTTAAAACAAGGAAAACCAGTTAACAAAACCCACCAAGACAGACAGCATCTGTATCATGCCGTAGGATGAATCCAGAAGATTGCATGAACTGATACAAAGTGCAGTAAGCAGAGCCAGGAAAACCCAATGTATACCCAATGACCACCTCCATGTAAATGGAAAACATGATCAAAATTTTGCAAAATCATATAGAGATCAAGCTTGGCTCCAAAGAAGAGATGTACCCTTACTCCTTTGCAGATGTTGGAGGATTTCAGGGTAGGATTTACAGATGTGGAATATTGCATAAAATGTCAGTTGTTTTTCTATGTGTTGATCAGTTTTGCTGACTCCCTCCCCTCCTTTTTGTTCTTCTTTTTAAAAAACAATTCTTTGTGAAAAGGGATGGCTCTGTGGGAGCGAGGAGAGGAAACTACAAAGACAAATGTAGACAATTTAAAAATAATATACCAATAAAATAAAAATCTATTTTAAAAAATTCTTCCCTCTTAGTATATGAGCTCTCTACTGAGAGGAGGGAAATATATTTCCTCTGGAATCAAGATTGGTCATTCGGTTTCATCTGATTTCTGATGTTTCCTTGTATTATTCTTGTTTACAATTTTAAACTCATAATATATGTTGTTGTCTTGCTTCTGCTTTCTTTGCTCTGCACCTGATCATCCAGGTCTTCCCTTGATTCTCTAAATATTCTCTAAATCTAAAAAAAAACTCTCTAAATTCTCCACATAGTTATCATTTCTCAAGATACAATGATATTTCCTTAGCTAGAGAGAGAGAGCATTTATTAAGGGTTCACTGTGTGCTCAGTCAATAAACACTTATTAATCACCTACTGTGTGCTAGGCACTGTGCTAACAAAAAGAGGCAAAAGACAGTCTTTGCCCTCAAGGAACTTAAAATCTAATGTAACTCTTCCAGGCATATTATGTTCAAAGATGGCCTTTTTTAAAAAAAAAAAATCTTATTACAGTATGTAAAATTTTTAAAAAAAGTACTAGAATAAAAATAAAATAAAATGGGGGAAAAAATCTTACCATTGTGCAATTCAGAATGGGCAAAGATCATTTATTTTTCCCATAACTACTTTGTATTTATTTATAATTTTTAAAAACTGTATTCTTCATATACTTACATGTGTAATTGTTATCTCCCCAGTTATACTGTAGCCTTTTTGAGAGTAGAGATTATTTCATTATCCCCAGACCCAATCAAAGTTCCTGCATGCAGTAGACAATTAATAAATGCTTGTTGATTCATGACTGCTAGCTTCATTTTTTTTAAAGGAAAATTTATTTTTACAAAATGTAGTAATACATTATCATAGCATATTCCTGTGCCCACGCACATCCGGCTATGCCTTCATTCTTTAAATATTTAATATGAGGATGCCAACTCAGATGACTAGTTTTAAAGTGACATAAGGCATTTGAAAGTTACATTGAGTTTTTTTTATCAGAGGCCCCGGTTAAGAAACTTTTGCTACTGTCAGGCAGGAGGTGATGAGGGCCTGACCCTAAGGAGGTGGCTATGTGAGAAGGGGTCAGATGGGAGAGATGTTGAGGAGGTAGAGACAGCAAGATCTGATGATCAATTGGATGGGTGGGGTGGGAGTTGGAGGTAATGCCAACGCTTTGAATCCAAGAGATTAGAAGAACAGTGGTCCCTTCCACATAGATAGAGAAGTTTGAAAGAGGGATGGTCTTGGGAGGAAAAGATAATGAGTTCTGTTTTGGCCATGGTGTTGGGCATGTCTCTAGGATAGCCAATTTGAAATGTCCAGTGGCCAACTGATGATGAAGACCCGAAGCTCAGGAGAGAGATGGTAATTAAATCCATGAAAGCTAATGAGTCATTAAAAGAGCAAAGGGTAGGGGTTCTAGGACAGGTCTTTGGAAAACACTCATAGTTAGGACTTATGATCTGGATAACAAACTAGCAAAGGAGACCAAGAAAGAAGGCAAGAGAACCGTGGGAGAGTAATATCATGAAAGCCCACAGAGAAGAGAGTATCTGGGAGGCGGGAGAATGGTCTGAATTGTCACCTCTAGCAGAGAAGGCAAGAAAGATGAGGACTGACAAAAGATTTGGAAGTCAGTTGGCCATGATCACTTTGAACAGGATCATTTGAGCAATGAGAGTGAAAGCCAAATGAGGGAGAGATGTAGAAATGGAGGTGGCGAGTATTGACAAGTTGGTTTTTGTTTTGTTTGTTTGTTTGTTTTAGGAATTTTCCCGAGGAAGGGAGGAGAAATATATAGGATATTATAAGAAAATAAAAATCCATTTTTGTTTTAGAGCTTGATTAGTAGCTCCTTTCCTGTTTCCCTTTTTAGGTAAAAAGTGAGAAATTTTCAGTTTTGTGATTAGAAATGCAAAGATTGCAAGTCTTAATATGCTGCTGGTTTCTTGGGGTACAGAGTTCAGTTAAAAGCTTCACATGTGAAGATAATTTCTCATGTCTCCCCCCCTAATTTCCCACCCCTTCAAATTTTTCTGCTTTAAAAATAGAGAGTTGATTTTGGCTACTGCAAAAAAATCCTGAGTCAGATTTCAACACTACCAGATGACCTCTTCTGTGGCCCTGAGATTGTTAGCTTTCTTGATTACTCAATTTCCTCAGTGGTGAAATTGGGGCATTGTTGGCAGGATGCCTTTCCCAGGTCTAAACAGCTTAGATAAAAGGTACTATACTCCTTTTAACATGTGATGTTTTTACATTACATTATCATAATTAGGTCCTTGGCAACCACAAGTATGAGAGGTAGTGTGGAAAAGGAGATTTAAATCAAAAAGATCTGGGTTCAAATCCTGTCTTTCTGAGCCTCAGTGTCTTTATCTATAAAATGAAGGCATTAGACCAGCTAATCTCTGAGACTCCTTTCAGCTCTAAATCCATGATCCTAGGGGCAATTACTCGTTTTGCCCCATTTACTCTCTTCTAGGTCCAGATCGGTTGCCTTGGCTTTCATTGAGCTCCTTTGGCATTTCTCCTTCCTCAAGTCTTTCATTTGCCATAGACCCAGCCTTCTTCCATGCCCACTCTGCCTTTTGTTATGCTGGCTTCCTTCCCTCTCTGCTAAATTGTAAGCTTTCTGAGAACAGGAGGTCTTCTGTCATTGTCCCCACCTCCTGGAATGGTGCCTCATACTCATTGAAGGCAGTGTGGATAGAGCAGAAGTTCCCATGATCTGGGCTCTGTAGGGTCCTTGTTTTCCTTGACTGTACATATATAATTGATTTCACGTTGCTTGCCTTCTCGATAGTCTGAGGGAGAAGCTGGAGGGAGGGAGAGAATTTAGAACTAGAAATCCTAAAAAAAAAAATGAATGTTAAAATGAATAAAACATTAAAAAATAAATGTTTGCTGAATTGCAAGCCCTGTTTTAGAAAAGGGAGGCCACCTAACCATTCAAATAATTCAGGGCAGTTCTTATACATTCATTTCATTTTAATTTGTGTTGTTTTTTGAAATCACCCTGCCAACAATAATATTCACCCACCCACGTTCTAGCTGTCTCCTTTTATCAGGGGTGGGATTTTGTAGCCATTCTCCCAAGTGATATTTTTCATGCTTGTGGGTAACCAGCCATCTGCAAGGCTGCTTTTAGAGTCTTTTGTAATTTTGGCAGCTCTTCTGCCTTCGTTATTTGAATGATTGGGACTGTAGATTTCGGGCTAGAAGGGTCTTACTTCATCTAGTCCAGCTTCCTTCATCTGATCTGTGAATTCCATTGCTGGGAATATCAAGAACAGGTGAAGTGGTTTATCCCAGGACACACAGGATTTTCGTGACAGAAATGGAGTTCAGTCCCTTGAGATGGATCCCTTTACCTTTCCACTGTCTTTTAGATTTGCAAAGCTTAAATGACCATATCTGTAAAGTTAAGTACAAACTCTATAAAGTTCCTCTATCTCCCAGTGGCTTTACTTGGTGTACCTTATGCTTGGAGGGATATTTGTTCTTGAAATAATTTGCATTTGGAAGAAAAGAGTATAGGAATCTCAAGAAATGCAAAGATGTTCCAGATCCTGAGAGGTGTCTGGAACTCCCATCTTAGCCATCAAAGCCTGGAATGCTGTGGTTGACTCTGGACTTGGAAGGTCCTTTTTCCCTTTGCAGAAAGGAGGTGATCAAAAAGCCAGGGAACCACACCCCCTCTCACGGTCCAGCTTGGCTCAGTGAGTGGAGACGCCCACATTCCCTTAAAAATCGGGCATATGTGGGAAGGAACGGGCTGAGCCTCCCATCTGGCCTCCGCTCATCTCTATTAGAGTAACAGCTGTTCGGTAAAATAAAAACATGTCCACACGTTTGCAGGCGGATGCCCTGGCTGGAGCTGCAGGCCATTTAAAAAGTTTAGCTTCTCTCTCACTTTCCCATCTGGTTCCTTTGGCTGTTGGGGTTGGTTGATGCTTCTCTTGGTTGGCTTTCTTTACAGATGAGCCCGAGGTGCGCTAACCTGGCGATAAAGCATTACCTGCTCAAGCCCGTTCAGAGGATCCCCCAATACAGACTGCTCCTGACAGGTACCATTGCCTTCTCCTGTACCTTTACCTCCACATCCCTCCTAATTCTAGTGCTCTTTTCATGATCTCCTATTGAACTTGTAGATAGCTTGCTTGTATATAACTGTTTGCTTGTTGTCTCTCCCCTTAGACCTTGTGCTCCTTGAGGGCAGGGACTGCCTTTCGCCTTTTTTTGTACCCTTAGAGCTTAGCACAGTGCCAGGCACATATGTAATTGGCTCTTAATAAATGTTTATTGACTGATTAATATTTTAAATTTTATTTTTATCTTTTAAGAAATCAGCAAAAAAATTTTCTTCTCTCTCTCACACCCTTCCCCCCTAGTGGGGAATGAAAGAAAAACAAAACCCCTGTTGAAAACATGTATAGTAAAGCAAAATAAATTTCCACATTGGCCACATCCAAAAAAAGTGTGTCTCATTCTACACTCAGAGTCCTCATTCTCTCTCTCTGGAGGCGGAAGCATGTTTCATCATGAATCCTCTGGAATTCTGATTTGTGATTACATTAATACTCATTCTTTTAAAGTTTTTTTCCCCTTTACCATATTGTCTTCATAACACTCTTCAGAGACTCTAACTTGTCTCTTAAAAAAAAGATTTAATACGAAGCACCAATAAAACTAGTTAAACATACTCTGCGGCTATTTATATTTAAATAAATAAATTTCAAAGGGAAGGGAACAAGGAAACAAGCATTTATTAAGCGCCTACTGTGTTCCTGTCACTATGCTAAAGTCCGAAGTATAAAATGTGCTAACTTTATAGCCATTCTGTCTCTCTCCCACTGGTATTCTTTATCCATTCATTCTCCTTCCTTTACTTTTCTTCTTATGTGCTTGTAATTAGTGTCACAGGAGATCACAGATCTAGGGTCCCAGAGGCCATGTATTCTCTGCCAGTTCCTTATTCTTTTGTTGTGCTTAGGATGCTTTTGACAGGTCAAGGAGGCCTCATACTACTGCGATCTGTCCATCCCCTAAATTCATTATTTTTATTTTTTTTTTTTGCGAGGCAATGGGGTGAAGTGACTTGCCCAGGGTCACACAGGTAGTAAGCATCATTTGTCTGATGCCAGATTTGAACTCAGATCTTCCTGAATCCAGGGAGCTCTATCCACTGTGCTATCTAGCTGCCCCTCCCTAAATTCATTATTGAAGGAAATATAGATTCTTACAAGTCAGCAAAATTTTCCCATCCAGTTTCCCAAACCTCTTTAAAGCAATCCTGGACCCCAGATTAAAAGCCCCAGTCTAGCTCAACTCGTGAGTTTTATAGATGGGGAAACTGAGGCAAGGGGAGATTGAGTGACTTGGCAGTAAGTGTAGAGCTGGGATTTGAACCGAGATCTGCTGATTTCCTCAGCCAGTGTTCTTTCCAGTGGATCATGTTGCCTCTGTGGTGTTTACTCTGTTCCTCTGGTTCTTTTTGCATTTTGAAATTTGGCACAACGTTCATTCCAAAGTTGCTTCTGTTCCTCCTACTTATCCAATTTCAATGGATTTATGACATTCTAGTACACCCATTGTACCACAGTTTATTTAACCATCGCTCTATTGTGTTGGACATTTGGTTTTCTTCCGAGTGTCTGCGTGTGTGGTGGTGGTGGTGGGGGAATTGCAGATGATTATGCTTCGAAATTTTTTCAACATAAAAGCTGTTGGGTTATATCACTTTCAGGGCCTTTCCCCACCAACAGAATTGTGGTTCAAGCCTCTCTTTCCTTACTTCTGTAAGGCAACCACTGTACCCTTTAAAGATGTCTTCTGTAAGAGGGGCTCTTAACTTCTTGTTTCCTGGAGCCCTTTGGCAGAATCTGGTTAAGCCTCGGGGCCCCTTCTCAGAATCATGTTTTTAGATGCATAAAATATGGAGGACCATTTGGCTAGTGGATGGAGTGCCAGAGTGAGGAAGGCCTGCGTTCAAATGCAGCCTCAGACACTAACTTGCTGTGTGACCCTAGGCAAGTCATTTAATCCTTTTTGCCTCAGTGTCCTCATCTGTGAAATGAGCTGGAGAAGGAAATGGCAAACCACTCCAGTATCTCTGCCAGGAAAACCCCAAATAGGGTCATAGAGAGTCACACATGACTGAAAAGACTGAACAAAAAATTATACTCAACATTCAACACCACGATACTGAAAAAAAAAAATGGAGTTACGTAACACTTCGGAGGGAAACACCCCTCAGAGATCACTATAGCTTGGACTTTGTTTCTTCCAAATACCGCTGCTCATGTCCAGGAAATTATGATGAGGCAAACTTGAGGCCAGAAGGGTAGTTTGTCCCAAGCAGAATTTCATAGTTCAATGGGACCTCAGAGGCCTGAGATCTGGGGGAGGATTCTTAACCCGGGGTCCGTGGATAGATACTAGAAAAGCTGTGAACTTGGATGGGGGAAAAAAGTATATCTTTATTTGAATTAGTTTCCTTTGTAATGCTGTTGTTGAGTTGTGTCTGACTCTTTGTGACCTCATTGGGATTTTCTTGGCAAAGATACTGTAATGGTTTGTCATTTCCTTCTCCAGCTCATTTACAGATGAGGAAACTGAAGCAAACAGGGTTAAATGACTTACCCATAGCTAGTAAGTGTCTGAGGCAGGACTTGAACTCAGGAAGATTACTCTTCCTGACCCCCTAGGCCAGCACTCTTATCTACTGCACCACCTAGCTGCCCCCGTTGAGTATAATAGCGTTACTAATCGCAGCACTATTATTAAAATAGGTGAATACTGGAAAGCAGGGTTAGAGAGGAAACAAACCAGCCCATTTCCTGATTAGTTAGGGGCTATGGGTCTGCCAGGAATGCACATTGAAAGTCCAACAGCTGCTGGGAGATTCAGCCCCCCTCCATCCGTAGGACTTGGTTGCCCCAGGTGGGCCAGGTGCTTATCACCCTTTCTCCTTCTCCCTTACACCAACATAAACAGGGAGCCTGGGGACAGGGCTCCCCTGTGCTGTCCAGTCTCAGCATTGGTCCCCTGCTGGCAATGACTTAAAATCCACAGAACAGAAGGAAATGGCGAGCCGTGGGTTGTGTTTTTGCAAGATAGTTTCAAAGATCTAATCGTAAACCCGTGATGGATGGTCTAGTTTGTTTCCACAGCTGTGGAATCGAGTCGGGTTATTAGTGGCAGAAGAGGGCTTTGCTTTCAGACATGAAAGGGGCTGGAGCCAGGTTCTGAAAATTTAGTGTAAAAATATTTTCCTTATAACCGAAGCTGATCCAAGTAGTAAATTGTTATAGTTCAAGATTTGTGCTGAGGTCACTCAGTACTTTTTCTTCTTTTTTTTTTTAAAGAAAAAAATTGAAAAAATTTGAAACTGAAAAATTTTTTTAAATGAATGTTAAAATTGTCTTTTCATATAACTGGGAAAAATATTATTTAAAGAAAGAAAGAAAAAGTTGAATAGAAGTTATAGCTTTCTTTTAAAAAAAAAAAGTCTTCCCAAACACAAGGTGGAATTTGGATGCTTTTGGATTCATCATCATCATCTCTCCCCACCCCCAGCTCATCACCAGAAAACTCATCAGCCCAGAGATGACTTCAGTTTTCCTATTTATACCTCATCAGTGCCCTCACTTTCTTTGGCCTCTCTTATTGGAGGTCATATACATAGCCTTCCTTTAGAGAGAGGTCAAGCTCCCAGCTATCTTTTCATTTGTTGCCATCTACTCTGCTTGGTTTCAATTCTACCACCACGATCATCATTGTGCCCCTGGAGAGGGGTACCCTCTGAAAACTTTAGCTTCCTTTTTTTGTATTATCTTCTTCCATTAAAATATAAGCTCCCTTGATGGCAGGCCTGCCATTTCCCGCCCCCCCCACCTTATTTGTATCCCCAGTGCTTAGCACAAGGTCTGGCACATAGTAGAGGGAGTGTGTGTGTGTGTGTGTGTGTGTGTGTGTGTGTGTGTGTGTGTGTGTAAAATAAAAATAATAGAAGTCAATAAATGTCTGAGTGAAAATTTGACTGCCTTCGACACTTAATAGCTGTGTGACTCTGGGCAAGTCCCTTAAAAGTGGCACAGTGGATAGAGTGCCAGGCCTGGAGTCAGGAAGATCTGAGTTCATATTCATCCTCAGTGTGACCCTAGGCAAGTCACTTCTCCCTGTTTGCCTCAGTTTCTTCATCTGTCAAATGAACTGGAGAAGGAAATGGCAAACCACTCCAGTATCTTTGCCAAGAAAATCCCAAATGGGGTCATGAAAACTTGGACAAAACTCAACAACATCAGCAACTTCTTGACTCCAGTCCAGTGTTGTCCATCTTGCTGCTGCTTTAGTTGTGGGGCCGTCTCCAGGCATCCTGATCTGTATCTGGCCAATGGATCCAGGTGACTCTGGAGGAGAAAGTGAGGCTGGTGACCTTGCACAGGTCTCCCTCACTTAAATCCAGTTCACTTGCAAGTTATGGCATCCTCTCCCTGACGTCATGGTACTCTCTGAGAATGAAGAATGCACAACTTTAGTTACCTTATTGAGTTATTTAACCACAATGGAAAGGGTTCTTTATCTGTACTCATCTCCTCATCAGGGATTCTTAACTTTTAGTCCCTGAACTTAAAAATATATATATTATTATAATTTATTATTAAATTTTTATTTTGTAAATTTACATATTTTATAAATAATATTAAAGTGTCAGAAAATAAGTATTTATTAAGTGCCTGTTATGCTATGCTAATTCTATGCTAACCCTAGGGATACAAAGAAAGGCAAAAGACAGTTCCTGGCCTTCAAGGAGCCTACATTCTAATGGGGGCAACAGTATGCAAATAGTCATGTGAAAACAAAATAGGATAAAATTAGAGATGATCAATAGAGGGAAATGTAATTCATTTCCTTGTTACATTATGTATTTTATTTTACGCATTGAAAAACACAACTCTGAGATGTCCATAGGCTTCACCAAAGGGGTCCGGGGACAAATTAAAGGTTAAGAACCCCCGATCTCATCCAGCTTTCTCATTTGACATGGAGTGACAATGGCTTTCTC